TCTCTGGCTTTCGGATTAAGAACTCTTTTCTGAAAACTGTTTATTTTCATATGTCACAGCTATTCACATTGCATGAAACACAGGATTTTTCACTGTGGCAATCAGCAGAGTTGTGTTCCGGTCCATAGTAAAACAGTTGTTTTAGACCGATGTATTGTGTGATAATGGAAATGACATTAAGTCTACTCTGGGTGACCTATATTCTACCAGTTAGGTTTTGTTGTCTGCTGTTTTTTATTTCCCACTCTTCATTTGTATTCTCCATTGTTTTAATCTCTGAGCAGGAAGTACAGGAGAATGTCTCAGTAAAATATTCCAGGGGGTACATACCTACGTAAGAAGCTGGCTGGACTCTTACTGCAAGTAATGCAAGTACTTGGTACTGCAAGTACTGCAAGCACCAAGCTTCATTTGGGAGAATTCTTTTTGGGAACAGTGTGGCTCCCTACCTATGATATTTCTGTGGAACATTTTTTTGCCCTTGATGGGAAGCTTATGCAGACTTAGCAGTTAAAGAAGATACAAGCTGTTCTTGCTTGAAAAAGTCTCCGTTTGTCTAGTCTAAATGTTTTTTCCGGGGTTTGACCTGGTGTGACAAATTGGGTTAATTATGTAGGGTGGGAACCAGGCTGCCTAATATAATGACTTCCTAATTTAGGCATTGCAGCATTTAGAAAGGAGATGTTAATGCTGAGTAAAGTGTGTGAGCTTCTTGTGCAGACCACAGAGTAGGACTGATGCCCATGAAGAGTAGTCCAGGACATCACCAAGTGTCAGCTAGTAAATAGCTTCTGGCCCCTTCTGGAGTACTGACACTGGGCTCAGGCTTGTCTTGCTTCAATATGTGTGGGATACAGGTTTTGTGTCCCTTTTTCTGAGCCTAAATACTTTTCTCAACAGGATTTACTCTTGATAATGGTGTTATTGATGATGCCTGCCCAGTCCCACTAGTGGCTTAGTCTTTAGGTCACTTACTGAAGAAGTCAGATACTCACATTCCAGCTGACCCTGCTTAACTCAGAGTTTAGATCTGCAATTGCTATAAATAAATAAATAAGTTTAAGTAATAGATGGCAGAGTATTCTGCTGAATGTTGCCATTTTCTGTTGTACTATACATTGCACAGAAAGGAAAAGAGAAGAAAAAGTGAAGGAGTATTGGCTTGGATGTTCATCTAGAAGAGCAAAGATTCATTTTCTTGACTCTGTGAACACTTGCATGTATTATATTAAATGGTCAGTGGTAAAGTAGAGGAATAACCTAAAGAGTAGGGACCATAAATGCAGGGCTACCAGTACTAAGCTTTGTGCATAATCAGCAGATACCACTTTTTAAAAATTCATTTAAATGCAGTAGCAGTGTTTGTATTACAGACTTGAAAAACATCAGGACAAATAAATAAGCATGGAAGGTTTTATTTATATAAGAAAGGGAAAATTACATCTCATCATGATGTTCTGAAAATTTAGGCCTAGATAATGTAATTTATCAGTGAATCATTAACCTCTAATTCTTCTCTCAGGCCCATGATTTCTTGTAGTCTTCCTGGTTCTACAAGTAGGTCTTTCTGTGTGTCTTTTAAAACTATTGTAGTAAGGTAAGGCAGAAGACTGAAAAAAACCCCATCTAAATGTGATTATAAACAATATTATATAATCCAGCTAATGATTTTATAAAATTTCTGTTTTAAATCAGTTATAATGTATATGGTTCTTAGTTTTATTGGCAGTCCCTTCCAGAATATCAGTCCTCTATTTAAAAATCCTTGGTATTTCATGCCTATTGCTATGCCCAGTTTCAGGTGTGAGTTTACGTGTCTCTTCTCTTGGATATTTATTCTCCATCATTAGTTGTCACAATATTCCATTTTTTTAGTTCATTATTTTCAACCTTTTTGACAGTAAATTTCTTAGCAAATATTAACTTTTTCATTTTCTACTGTTTTATAATAACAAAGGTAACTAAATAAAAGTTGTGAGTTCTACAATTTATAGAGACTATATGAGTGCTCTCCATAGGTAGTGCTAGTGATTGTTTGTTTTTTAAAAAAATTGTGTTATTTTCATCAACAGGCAACTGTGGCTATCATCAAATCTAAAATTCCCACCTATTGTTCCATCACCTCTTGAAGGAACAAATTGTAGCGGTTTGTACTGTAAGGTGAAGTCTGGAGAGAAACTGCCTGTGAACATCACTGACACTTATTTGGACTATGATATACTCTCTTAAAATAACCACAATACTTCAGTAGGATGGAAAGTGGGAAAAGTCCTATTAGTTTGTAAAAATGTAAATGTTTAACTTCTCTATTGTTTGGTGTTTGCCTATGCATTCTGCTTACAATGACATGGACTGGCTTTCATTTTAAAAGTAGGTAAAATATGGATTTTGTTATAATTTTCTTTAATTGTTCTGCAGTGCTTAATATGTATGGTTGTGTGATGCAAAGTAATTTGTCTGTAATTACTCAAATAGCAACTATTGTGGAGTTGTTACATAACTATGCCTGCTCTTGAAACATGTCACTTCGTTTCTGGCACAGACACTGATGAATGGCATTTTGTTTCATCAGGACTTACTGGGTTAGGCATAGAACTATGAGAATTCATCTAGACTTCTGAGAGCCAGCTTTTCAAATATGAAGCTGAATGCACTATACAGGCAGCATGTGGTGCAAAACTGAACTTGCTCAGTGCATTCGTAGCACGTTGTTCTGAGAAGCTGTAAAGGTTCTGGATAATACAGTTGCAGAGGCATCAAGTTGTTCCATAGAGCCACAGCCTAGGTTTTGCTCAACTAATTAGCACCAGTTTGCTTTGGAACTACAGATATGCTTGGGACTAGCTTGTGAATTTAGCTAATAAATTTCTGAATGTGGAAACTATGAAAAAAGTGTTCAGACAATAAAAAAATAGATGGCAGAAGCCACCTTACCTGCCTGTCAAGCCTTTTAGGGTGCAGTGTTTGTCCATGAATGTGTCTGAACGTGATTGCAAAATAATTTCTAATGCATATTGCAGTAAGTACTGTTCAGAGTTGATGTTGTTATGGGTATTTGAGTTACTCTGTGAGGGAGTAAAGTAACTGAAGTAACAAAGTCTGTCATAGAACATTTTATGAAAACAAGGAAAGCTCTATTCCAGAATTTAAGGCTGTTGGAAGAGGTTTTATTGTCATCAGAAGATGCTGATGCATAGGGTATTAATAAAATCAGTCACACAAAGTGATTTCAGAATTTTTGGAAAATTACCACTGCTTGGCTAAATTAAATTTACTTCAGGGCTGTACTAAGATCTCTGCTATGATCAGACTGTACTAAGTCAAGATCTAGGTATTTAAGCTTTTGTTTTAAAAGGTAATTTTGTTGGCAAAATGTTTAATTTAAAGAAATACAAGTATTTGTTTAGCAACTAAAAAAAAATCAATCATGTTGCTCTTTTTTCTTTTTATTTTTATTTTTTTTACAAAATGTGCACATTTAGTTTACACAAACACACTACAGCAGATTTCAGGTGTACATGTATTGTACTACTCTTATCCTACACTGGTGATAGCAGAGCAGCCTTCAACATGCCTCTAACATCCCATCTCTACACCAGAATAGATACCTGATTTATTTTTGCAAAACAATGCTTGCAACATTCCCTCTACTCTATTAATCTCCTTTCTGCAGCAATGTTACAATGAAGATTGGCCCATTTTTTATAGCATTTCACCTATTTTGAAGTATTAGCATAAAGTCTGTGGACAATATATCTTAAAAATTACACGTATTGGGGGTGGGCAGTATTATATTTTCAGTAGATACATTTTTAGAAAAATCTTTCTATGTTCAGAATTAAGGTAGCTCCAATCTTAATGAAGAAGTGATCCTAAAAAAATGAAATACAGTTATTACATGTAGATGATATTATATAGATGAAGTTTCCTTTTTCTTTTCCTGATTCTGCCTCCTAATTAAACACATTACAAAAAGCTGAAACAGATGTTAGCCTGTCTAGCAGTCACTATTAGTAGATGTTACTACATAGTGATATTCATTCCGAGCACCGAAGTGGGATAGAAGTTTTCAAAAGAAGTTCATGCCTTTTTCTTCATGAAAGGCAGAAAGACACATACACATGAATACAGTGTTAGGCTCCAGTTGAGGTTTCTTCATGAAAAATTCAAAGTCCTTATCTCAATGATCCTTAATTTTATGTGAAAAAATTCATGGACACATCCAAGAAGAATTAGAAATGAAGTCTGTAGGACTCCTGCTATTCATGTCATGATAAATTAAATGCAGATTTACTAGGTGAGTGTGATTGACAGCAGCTTACTCATGTCTGTTAGAAAGTAAATCAACCTGTAAGCAATTTCTTTCTTTGTTCTTTAACAGTTCTTCCTCGCAAGTTATCTATTTCATTAGGTTTGGTTTGTTGTTTTTTTTTAAGACAAAAGCAAGTCAAACGTGGAAGGCAATTGCAGCTAGATGCGCATTGCACATGGACTGTAGCACTTTAACTCAATGTATTCCTCAAAAAAAATGAGGACTACACCATGCAAATGTGAAAAGAAAAATACATGACAATGTCTCTGTAAATTAGAAGCTAAGAATTAAGAAATACACTCAAACACCTGGAGCATAATCCAGTACAAATGAGTAGCAAAACTAAGAGTATTTATTTAATCTCCTTGTGGTAGCATCTATTTTATCTAGGGGCTGGAATAATAATAAAGCTGCATAATGTCAGGTCTTATTTTGTTTGAATTTGGAGTAAAAGCTTGACATTTCAGAACAATCTTGTTAACTAATGTAGCCACTGTTCAAGTGCTAAATTTTATATTTTACAAAGGATGTTTTAGGGAAAAATTTGTAATAAAAAAATTATTTGCATAATACATGTCTCAGTGTACAGCTGAGTAATTTTATTTATGATAAAGTGGGAAATCCATCTTTTAGATAATGTTGCAGAATAGCTCAGACTTGTCCCTTAGGTGTAGGCCTTATGTCTTCATTAAATCACATTTTCAAAGAGCTGCATGGATCGCATTATATTCTCATCCTGTAAAAAAGAACAAAAACCCAAGTATCATACACCATTACAAATGTAATTTGAAAATATCTGTAGTAAAATTGGGTAGAACTTAGTATATTTTTGTTAACAACATTATTTTTTAACTTTTTTTGAGAAATTCTTAACAGAAAAATGCTGTCATGGATCTATGCTTAAACAGATTACTTTGCATATTAGTTAAACCAAAATTCTGTTCCAAATGCAGTAGTAAGTCTACAGGATTTCAGAGATTATAGGTTTATATCCAGCATAACAAAATACATATAAACAAAAAATAAAGATATAACTGTTGTAGCTGAAGTATGAATCCATACATGAAATTGCTAATCTTGTGTATCATACACAGGAGACTTTTTGCAATTTTAGGGAATCCTACTGCATAGCTGGGGATGATTCTAAAATAAAATAGATTTAAGTGTGCACCTTTGCATGAACCACTGAGTCAGTCAGTTCCACAAATATCACAACACTTGACTCCCTAGCTCAGATTTTCTGTGTGTCCACACTGAAAGATGTTGGCTGCTTTTCAACACTACTTCTACTTACTGATTGTTTTGCATTAGGTAGGTAAGAAAACCTTCAACTTTCAGATTCACAGAATGTCAGGGGTTGGAAGGGACCTCTGGAGATCATCTAGTTCAGCCCCCCAGAGGAGGACCACCTAGGGCAGGTCACACAGGAACATGTCCATAATGCTTATTGATGCATCACTCTGTGCTCCACTTTTTGTCAGGAAATATCTCTCAGCACAGCACTCATGAAAAAATAAGGGTTTTTTTGTAACATTTAATTTTCAGTGTATAGAAGAAAGAGTTCACTTGTAGAAGCCAATACTTGGCAAAACTTCTGGATCAACAGTTGGTTGCACAATACAATACAAGAGTATTTTATATGCTCATTTAGCATTTGCTGGTCTCCACTGTAAGAAAGCACAAGAAAGACGGACCTGTTGGAGAAGATAGTGATAGGACAAGGGGTAATGGTTTTAAACTGTGAGAGGGGAGATTTAAGTTAGATATTAGGAAGAAATTCTTCACTCTAAGGGTGGTGAGGAACTGGAATGGGTTGCTCAGGGAGGTTGCTGATGCCCCATCCCTGGAGGTTTTTAAGGCCAGGTTGGATGAGATTTTGAGAAACCTGTTCTAGTGGTGGGGTTCCCTGCACACGGCAGGGGGGTTGGAACTTGATGATCTTTAAGGCCCCTTCTAAACTTAATGACTCTATGATTCTATGATTCTTAATATTTTAGGAAGTTTCATGAAAAAGGTGCATTAAAAAAACATTTCTTAAAAAGGTTCTCTCACAGTGTTCTCTGCCACTGACAGGTATGTAGGCCTCCTGTGTATTAATAACAAAAGTTCCATATTGATTCCCAGTTAAAGTATTCACTGTTCAGTCTAGTGAGTGATTTTCTGTGTCCAAAATGACAAATCTAAGTAATTTCCTTGATCTATGTTATGAAACACGCATAGGGGGGTTTTAATCTTTGATTCCCTCTATCATTTCAAGTGATGTTGCTGTAATAAGTGGTCTACAACTATTTTCTGCTGATAAACTAACTTATAAAAACAATTACACTGTCATTTCAAAGAAATAGGCTATGTAGATAAATGCTTTAAAAGTTTGTATAGGAAATATACTGTATTAAATTACTGGAAATGAAAATAAACTTTTTCCCATTGCATTGTTTTGAAACATAAGTATACTATTAAGATCACTGATTAAGGTTCAAGTTTAACTAGAATAATTTGTAATTTGAGTATTTTTTAATACACATTGGCAACTAAGCTCAGCAAATGTACAAAACAAACACATTTAAATTTAAAGCACTGATAGTTGCCACCAATTTTATAATATCATCACTAATGGAACTAGTAGTCTTCTAAAATAAGATCCATTTTTCTGAAGTTTGCTATTTCTATAGAGAAAACTTCCAGTGCCCCTCCTTTAGTCAGTCAAATGGGAAGACACTTCACAAGAAAATACAAACTTGTCATAATATTTGGAAGATGGTGACTTTTAGTAGCTCTTTTTTGTTGTTCTTCTTTTTTTGAAGTAGGAAAAAAAAGGCAGATGGTCGCTGTAGAATTATGGATGCCTTTATCTTATTTTCACATGCACCAGATGCAGCTCTGGCTGCCATAATTATCAGTGGGGCTTTCCATTCCAGGGTCTGAGCTTGTCATTTGTTAGGGAAACTGGCAGAGGTTTTGAGCAGATGTGCCCTAACCTTGATACCAAAGGAAGGTTTGTAGATGAGGAAGCCACCATAGCTGTGAAAACCTAGGGAGCAGCAGGTGTGCTGTGTCCCTGTCCTGAATGTCCTGATAAGCAAAAATAGTAGAACTAGCAGCAGTATAAAGGGTGATTAATCCAAGGGTGATTAAAGGTGTGGAGTGGTTTTCCTGGGAGGAATAACTGAATAAATGAGTACTTTACAGCTTGGAAAAAAGAGACTGAATGAAAGGCAGTGTTTATCCATAACACCAGAACATATGGAAAACAAAAATATTGCATGATGTGACTCATTGCGTACTGAGGAAAGAAAGGAACCTGAACCTTAATTTTTTTTAGATCAGTGTCATACCTAATGGGATATTAAAAAAAAGGTTTCCTACAGCTGTGTTTTAAAAGGAAGCAGGTACGATTGTCCTTTGTGAAAAATGTAATTCTGAAAAGGCTGAAGCCGCAAAGATTCCTGAATCAAGTTTCTTGAAGGACTTGGGTTGAATTCTAACTCCAAATCTCATGTCTGAAAAGAAATCTTGAAATAGACATGGATTACATACTCTGTAGCTCAGAGGTCTTAATAGAACAGATCTTAATAGGTAGAGAGACTAAGAGTTTAGACAGCAAGATACTTTTTGAATCAAGAAACATTGACACTTTTCAAGTTAAAAGCAAGTGAAGGTGAGGTAGTGGCACAATAAGAACACTGTCTCTGTTACGTAGCAGTTTAGAGGGCATCTCCCTCATGTGTCTTCTGAATATTCAGAAGTAAATAAGAAATCTTCTAGCTGATGTGAGAAACTGTGAATCACATTGGAAAGGGAGAGAGCAAGTCCTTATTGATGGTACCAATTTTCTTCATAAATTAATCATTTGGCTCATCACTGCAATTGCTGTCATATCCAAAGTAATCTGTCATTTAACTTCCAGACCTCTGCACACCTCAGCTGGGAAATTCATCTCATCTCTGTTTCTGATAATCACTCAGCTATAGCAGAGCAAATGCCTTTAATTCGTATTGAACAAGATGGACAAGCTAGAAGAATGATCAATGCAATAGATCACTGCCACACATAAGACACTACCAATGCCCATTCCTAAGGATACACAGAACAGCCACAGTTCGAAGAGGTCTTGTCTGCCTTCCATCCCCCCAAAACAGCAGATTAAAATCAAACAAAGAATCACTTACTAGGTAGCTTTGCTCATGAGAGCAACTCCAAGGAATAACTACAGATGCATATAAAAACAGACAAGTTCTAGAGCATCTTTGCTATTTGCTGTTCAGCCTTTCTTGTTCCACAAGATTAAAAATCTATCACTCACTTAACTGCATTCATTTTTCTAGTCTTGTTTTATCCTGTCTCTTGTCTACTGCTCCCTTCTTCATATAGTAGATAAGAATCAATATACACAGGCTATATTAGTGGTCTGTGTCATATTAATTAGAGTTAGCCTGGACGAGGTACCAGTAAAGCACCACTATACTTTTTTATATTTCTCACAGTAACAAATAATGTTGGCTTATTTGGCACATCAATTTGAATAATGTAATCAATCTTATCACTAGGCCTAATGTGACACTTCACAATACATAACAATCTCATGCCAAAGACTTATCATTATGTTGTAATTTTTGTTTCCTTTTTGTGTGTTTTTTAACTGACAAATTAATAGTAGTTCCTTAACTTTCTGAAAATGCAACTTACCTCTCCTCATATTGTCTTCTAGTCTGAGAGCAAGCCAGTTTCTGAAGGGCAGAGGAGTGAAAGCAAGCTGTAACTTCTGCTGCAAAAATTTATTTTCATTCGTAGCTCTAGAGGCAAGGAGCTACTTTCAGCAGTTGAAGGAAATTAACAGCCACTTGGGTAGTTTAAACACTTGCAACTGATAATCACAATCAGTTCTCACTCTCTTGCCTTGAGAAAACTTGTCTGCTATTAACTCCTGCCATCCAAACCTTGGCAAGATCCTTGCACTTTCCATTTCTAAGGCCTCTAGCAGATCATGACTTGCTGTTTGAGTAACACTCCTCTAGATGACAGATTTTTCAAGATATATTATTGCTGTGACTATATGCCAATTATAGCAGGAATGTGTTCTGTAGCATAGGCTGAACATAGAAATAAATATTTAACTGAATGTGAAGAAACTTTTTGCTACCAAGCATAAGCAAAACACTGTTAAAGAGAGAAGGGAGGCAGACACATTTGTCTTATAAGCAATCATATATCCCTCATATACAACATTTCTTCTACATGTTCAGACCACAAATTTGTTTAGTGTTTCTGTGTAATGGTGTATACACGTACTCTACCTTGGGAAAATCCTGTCTCTGGTATTAAGATTACCATCACTGTCACTCCAGAGACCTGTGTAGCACTATGGTAACACTAGCCAACAGCTTGAAGTTCAGTACTTATCACTGCATACTTACTTTCTGGCAGCTCTCTATGAATTCCTCTATGGTAACTACTCCATCTTTGTTTTTGTCCATTTTCTGTTCAGAAAGAATAAGAATGCATGTTTATCCTACTGAAATTCTGTGTAAACCAAATTATTTTTATTATTCATTTCAGTTATATGTCAGCATAGGAACAAACAGGCCAAAATGTTCTAAAGATATAGTGATATACTAGAATAAGCTTAAGGAGCTTAGTGTTGAAAAAGCAAGCTGCAATGAGTGATCTGAGGAACTTGGGATGGAACCACAGAAGAGAAAGAATTACAAAATTGGTAGGATATGCAAAACTGTTACAACAATGAAAACCTTTCTATACTTGCTAACAGATCAGTGTTTTTGGCTCATGTTACACGACCCACCTGGAAAAATGTTTCCACATGTTGTCTAGGTGCATCCTCCTTGAGAACAGGATAGGTGCATTTCCCCATCATGTCATATATTGCTTTCATGATATCAAGCATTTCCTGAAGAGAAAAAAATATGTCCCATGTAATATAAGGTGCATTGTAGACACTGATTTAACTTAGACCAGATAAATTATTTTTAGGATTTACATTTTAAAATAAAAAAATTAAGATTGTGCCTGTTATTGTACAGCTGAAAAGCTTCAAGAAGGAACTACTATGCTCCTACAAATTCTAGCATAAACTTGTTAAATAGATACATATGTATGATTTTGATTTTAAATTACTTAGAATATACGCAAGTTCACGGATTGCAGGAAGAATCTCCTGAGGTCTTGTGAATAAAACTAAACAGGAAAAGCAGTTCTGTAACAGAAAATTAATGGCCAAAGCACCTCAGCTTCTTACTACTGATTTTTCCCTAGAGAAAACAAAAGCACCCATGCCCACACCCGTACATATGCAGAGAGTTCTCCTTTTATACCAAAAGCTTTGAATTTTGGTAATAGAGTGATTTGTAAAAACAGAATAATTATGAAAACAAGTCATCTGTCAGTATGCTGAGGAATTATTCTATAGGACACCCTTTTATAATAATATGAAGTGTTTTTCTACAAGTGTAAAATTACAAGTGTAACATATTTACATAAAGACCTAGTTTTGAAAAAAACCCATAATTTTTATGAAAGCACTCATTTGGTTCCCCTGTAATTTGTGTTGAATTCTTGCAGAATAAAAAATGGAGGAATCTTTTAATATACATTTTCTTTCAAGTAAAATTTTTTTAGAGAAACAGGTTCATAAAAGGAGTAGCAATTATGGCCCACATACTTAATCCTTTTTTGTCCAAATATCCTACCAAATGACTTGATCCTAGTGTCTAAATGGACTAAATGTGCAAATACATAGGCATAAGTTGAATCAAAAAATATCTGTACCTGATGAATTCTGACCTTTTACAATCGCTGTGAAGCTTTTCCCATTTCTATTTTTGTCTTTAAAATTAGAAAATTACTTTATTGTTAGCATCTCTAGTTTTGTAATATATGTTGATTTGTTAATGCTTCTGATTTGACAATGAAGCCATCCTTCTTTGAAAGCAGAATTTACATATACAACCTTTAGTTTCAGTGATTAGCGTAAAAAGTAACCTTACCTCTTTAGTTATATATCCATCCTTATTTATATCATACAAATTGAAAGCCCAATTCAGTTTCTCCTGTACTGTCCCTCGGAGTAAAATTGAGAGACCCATCACAAAATCCTAAATGGATGAAAGGTCTTGGTCAGTTTGGAATTGAGCCATTTTTTACAAACATTGAGAAAACTAGAATAATGCATTGTTCAGAAGCACAGAAGTCTGGAAAGGTATGTTCTTCCTATATTTTTTTTGCTCCACAGTAAGTGTTAAGGATTTATATTTTTTTATATAATTAACAATCTAGGCAGTCTTTGCACACTCCTAATTAATGAGTAATTTTCTATAAAATAAGCCATAACTTTCTGTTAGTGGATTTATCCTCTGAAATGCCTCACATAAGCAGTTCTACTTGAACTTAGTACCAGGGAAAAGGAATCTCCATGGTTTAATGGTTAAAAAAAAAAAAAAAAAAAAAAAAAAGCAGCTTAAGTGGGAGTTGGATTAATCTAAGCACAGGAGAAAAAAATTTGTGAGAGCTGCCTACTAAGGAACATTTAATTATTGCTAAATTGATACCTTGTTGGAAGTGGAATATGTGGTTCTCAGAACTCTTAGGTCAATCTGCTGCAGTCAACATTTGAACCTCCATGTATGCTACAGTACACCTCAACACTTAAACCTTTTATTGTAAATATGATAGGGAATAACTTTTACTATGTCTCCATCTATCACCTTAATGCTTTTGGGACCCATCAACACTCTATTGCTGTAAAATATTCCACAAAAATAAATCAGAAGTCTTCAAGATTCTTTATAGGTAATATTTAGTTACATGTTTTTGTTTTATAGTTCATACTCTTTTGACAGCACAAACCTCATTTACATTTAATGACCACCGTCCAAATCGAAGAAGATATCATCTGGGATGTGTCATCATCTGTCTTCTATATTTCTGAGCATGTTAACTTTGTTTAAACAATAGCTTCTTTTTTCCTAACTCTGCTCCAGTTTTCTCTATTTGTTAAGCTTGTAAACTCAAAAATCTACAAAATTGTCTCCATAAGATTAAGCAGAATATGGCAAGAGATTATATTTTAATGTGCATTTCTACGTCATTGGAAAAGACATACAGGGAGTCTTATAGTAATGTTAAAATAGAAACAATAAAAGCTGAAAAAATTCTTATTAGCAACCATTAAAGTTTATGCATTTGCTTGAAACAAGAACAATAGAAAGGACTCCACTGAGGTGAGACCTAAATTACAAAGGCCTGATGTACCACACAGTCTAAGTCTACCACATATACTGAAGTATACACAGATATCCTGGCCTCAGATGGTCTAGCAGGCACAGACATCCCTTTTGACAACTGCAATCTTTTTAACAATTCAAGTGGCATGCTCTGGGCTTTCTTAGTCTGTCATAAGTTTCTGTCTTATTGGTATATGTGCCCTTTGGGGCAAATGGGTACATGAATCTTTAAAGAGTTTTGCTCAACTTGTCTTGTCGACATCTCAGTGACTAATTGAGGGTCACAGGGTTAAATCTCCAAACAGCTCTTTAGCACTGTACTGTTAAGTATTGAAATGTTCAAGAAAATCTGAACAGATCTGATCACATTACAGCATTAGCAATTAACCTTTTTAATTCAGTACCATGTCTTAAAATCTTTTCTGCACTATTCACATTCTTAACGTAGCTTTTCCTGAAGTCCCTTGCAAAGACCCCCCAATAACTTTACTTTCTTAGAGTATTATATATAAGAACTCCGAATTTATTTGAAATTGGGCACCAGCAACATTTTTGCATTTATTCTATCTAAAGAGTTTATCTTTTTCCTTTCCTGATTATTTAGCCTTCTTCCTTTCTCTGTAGAGCCTGTGGTGAGCTGGGATTAATTTTTTTTTTTTTTTTTCCAGCAGTGAGTAATTATCTCTTATCAAGGTTGTTGATCACTTTCTGATTGCTTTATCCCTTGGTAAATTTTTGGGGAGAACTGGTTCATTAACAAATTAATTAACAAGCTTAATAGTGTGCTGTCTCAAATCCATAGGAAAGCTTAAAATTATTCCACCTGATCACATGTTCCTTTTTGTCTTGTTCAAGGCCAGAAGAAGTAGCTAGGCAGGCACCTAAATCCATTTTTGGATCCTCAGGATTTTTGAAAGGAATCAAGTTGAATGTTAATCACAGAAGATGTGAAGCCCTGGCATGCATAAAACAAAGATGACCAAGGAGGTGCTGCTGTTCAGAGGAAATACATTTCTTTGTAGTTACTTTACAGCAGCTGGTATTAAAATGCTTATGAGATCACTGCTGATCTGATCACTAAGAAAAAACAGCTTGCTTTCTACATGGTATGAACGAGGCTTTTTGTGTTGGACACAGGTAATCACACTCGGATAAATTAATGAAAGTGCTACCCTCATATTACCACCTTGGAGACAATGATTCGTTATTACTATTATTAGTGAAATACCAAAGTTATGTTTGATCTAAAGTTCTGGACTTTCCTATGGTTCTGCATAAGCATGCATGCTAATTTACTAAGCAATGCAAAATTCTCAGGTAACAATTGAGGAATAAAGCAATAAAAAAATCACCAACAACTTTGCTAAGTATTATTAATGATATTTTGAGCAACAAATACAAGTTTGGTTTTCACTAAAAACAACAAAAAGTCTTAAACTATCTCCATTGCATTTGGGTACATCTTTGTATGTTAAGGCACTGAGAATTAGTGAGATTACTGTGTGACTTTCCCCTTCATGAAGGGGTACCTGAAGGGGGACTACAGGAAAGCTGGGGAGGGATTGTTTACAAGGGTGTGTAGCAATAGGATGGGGGGACAAGTGGGGGGAATGGTCTTAAACTATAGCAAAGTAGATTTAGATTAGATATTAGGAAGAAGTTATTTACAATTAGGGTGGTGAAGCACTGGAACAGGTTGCTTAGAGATATGGTGGAGGGCCCATCCCTGGGAAACATTCAAGGTCAGGCTTCGCCAGGCTCTAAGCAACCTGATCTAATTAAAATGGTCTCTGTGCACTGGAGGGAGGGCTGGACTAGATGACCTTTAAAGGTCCTTTCCAACCCTACACACTCTATGATTCTATGAAAATCACATTTAGAATAGCCTTAAACTGCATCTAGATCTTCTTATTTGGATATTTGTGTGTGAGTCCAATGTGCTTTACCTTTGACCATCTGTGTAAAATTAATTAGCCTCAAGTTTCCTGACTGCTTTGAGGCCCACATCTTCAGTTGGATTCAGTGACAATATTCATGCAGGAAGTGGAAACCCTGCTTTCACATCTGTCGGTGTCTGACAGAAAAAAAAATAATTCAGTTCACTAAGAAACCAAGCAATCTCATCCAATGGAGGTGTGTGTTGAAGTTATTCTTAAGTCTAACACTTAACAGTTTTGGGCTTGAAATTTAAGGAATAAAGATTAAAAAGCTAGAACAAAATATTTATTTCTTTTTCCCCACAATTGCAGCTACCACTGCTTCATTAGAAAAAGCAGAGTGCAACACAAAATATTTTGTTCTTGCTTACATTTTTTTCAATACCCTTTAAGATTTTCATATCCATTTTATATACAAGAGACAGTGTGTTTTTCATCATAGGACATTTTATTAAACTGTATTTACTCCTACACTTTGATATAGAAAGTAAATTTAGATGAATTATAATTTTTAAATCACTCTCTTTTTGTCTCCCTTTTGTGCTGTTTGTTGTTGGTTTTTTTGCTTGTTTTGTTTTGCTTTGGGTTTTTTTGCTTGTTTTCCTAATGGAAATTAGAATGCTAGAGTACAGATTGCTATAGAAAAAATAAGGCACAGTTGCACCTGGGCTAAAAAAGGAACAGGAAAAAAAAAATCACAGTTGTATTTTTCATATTTCACAATACCTATTTTCACATTTTACAGCTACTTTGACATTATTTGAAAAAAAACCCCTCAACATTTTTAACAAAAGGAGGTTGCTTTTAGAATTTCTGTAATACAGTTTGTAAGTGTAATGCTGGTACAGGACACAGAAGCAAGAGTCTTGACAGCATTAGGGTTATGTAGGATTCACAATGCAAATAATATCAAAGTCTAAATTGCTCTGAGTTGATACTGAACAGAAGTAAGCTGGAAATGTCTGGTTTGGCTGTAAAAAGTCCCACCACTTCTCTTTTTTCACTGCTTTATTTTACTCAAAGGCTTTTAAAAAAAAAAAAAAATATACACAGACTTGCACTTTGAGGTATTCAAATCACTTTAAAAGAGCTTCATTTTTACTGCATTTCTTAAGGCTTTCTGTCTGAGATGCAAATGTCAACAAATTATCCAGGAAAAATACAAAAGCTTCTTTTGTTCTCATTATTCTTAATGGTAACAGCAGAAAGACTTCTGAAATATTGATGTTAAAAATGTTTTCTTGCATTGCCTCTGCTAAACTTGACTAGAAGGACTTATTGTAGAATTAACCTACGTTGAGCATATATGAATAAATCCTCTGTTCCTGCTTCTAGTTTAACGCAGAGCCCATTGGTTTCTGCAGCCCAGAAAAGGGTAGATGGGGTTCATATTTGTTTGAAATAAATGCACATTATCCTCCACACATGATCTGGTTACAGTTCCAGTTGAGCAATAGATTTCTCATCACAGTGCACCTACTTGGTGAGGGTTCTCCTTCCAAATTACACCAATAATAAAGCAAAGAAAATGCTTTCAAAGATTTCTGTCAGATTTCATAACATAAAGGAAATAATAAAACTGTGTATTTTCTTAATTCTATACCTTAGAATAATGGCTCCTTCACAGCATTTTTTAGACCCTGTTTTCATCTAAACTTTTGCAGTAACTTGCCCTTTTTATAGCATTGAAGTCATCAGCCTTTCCAGGTGATGACATCAGCCCTAGCAGAGAAAGGCAGGTTTTTGAAAACAGATAAGGCAGCTAAATGGAGGAAAAATGAATTTCAAACACTTGTGCTTTTAAATACATTCACTTTAAACCCTTTTTTTGTAGAGTGTGTGAGCAATCCCATTTTGCCTCAGTCATCCCCATAACATTAGGTGTAGTTCAGAGTCCTTCTCACCTTGCAGAGGCAGGAAGGAAGATAAGGATTATTTTATGTAACTTGCATAGAAACTGGGTTAACATTTAAATGAACAGATTTATAAAAATATTATGTAGCAGCACAGTCTGAGTTACCATTTTGGGATATGTAATTGTCAAATAGTAATAATGACTTCTGTTGATAAATTGGAAAATCTTGAACCTTGAGTAGAATAAGCAAAATTTTTCATTAGGAAAGCCATAAGATAAAGCCAACAAACTGTATTTAATTACAAGGAATGGCAAAATATTCTGTTGCGGAGAAGGAAGGAACAGTATCACTTACCTCAAAACTTACAGATCCATTGTGATCAGTGTCAAATGCATTAAACAGAAAATGTGCATAATTTGTGGAATCTGAAATTTAAAACAGAAAAAAGAATTCACAATAAGCACATCTTATTTAATTTCATTTCATTCTGTCAAACACTTCAATACCAAGATATATTTTGATACCAATATTTGATAGCAAGGCCAAATTTTCAGTTCAGTTTAAATTTCTCTGGCAGGGGAGGAGGGATAAATTATAAATGTGAATATGTGGGTAGCCACACTGTTAGGAACAGAAAATCTAAAATTCTGGTCTAGAATATCTTTATTAATTTTTGTTCCCGTTTCTGCTAATCACTGATACCTGAATGAATAGCAAGAAGTCATGTTATTGTACTCTGAAACAACCTGTGTTAATGGGAATGATACTTCATCAGTTAAATGATGGTGAGGGGGGATCTATCTCATGTGTTAAAGAAGAAAAATAAGTGCATTTATTTACTTTAAATGAGGGAAGCAGACACTATCATCCATGCACCTGTTTTTAGTCTGAAGAAAGGCCTGTTACCCAGGTTGAAGCTGAGCTTGTCAGAAAGCTTCTTCTGTGCTCACCCTCAGGTGAGATAAAAACCTGTCCAGAGAAGCACTTTCTTGAAGTTGGTTTGCTGCTTAATTCCCATGAACATTGTCTGAGGGCTAGGTACTTAAAAAACATGGAAAAATTGGCTGTGACTTAATTAAGTGGTCAATAAGATTCTGAAAGATGACCTTAACCAAGTGATCCTTTCACTAATTTGTGCACTCTTCAAACTTGTGGAGAGGTGCATATCGACTCACTTTAGAAACACAAGACAACATGAATATAAATCTGTCTAGCCTCTAAGTTTTTGTAAAAATCCATATTTCCATTACCACTGAATGCCTGCCAAGGGGCACAACCTGCTGCAGAAGTAATATAGTGGGAAGAGAGAGCTGCTCCAGAGACTGCCCTGTTGGTATGAGGTACAAGCTGCTGGGGTTATGGGAAGTCAGCTTTCCTCAGTATGTTTTCCCTCCCATGAAAATTAATGAAAACCATGAAAATTAATGTAGGCTGAGGTATTGTTTACATTTAATTGCTTTGCTCTTTCCACTTAATGTAGTTACATTTATTTTAGGTTATTTAAGATTAACCTCCCAAACTTTTAGTAAACTGAGAATTGTTATTAAATCCATATCCCCTTTTCAGAATGAAAACTTTTCATATCAGGGGAAAACTTCATCAGTGCTGAGGTGCTTTTTCATGGTTTCTTGGCACTCAACCATTTTGTTTCCTATTAATCCTGAAAACCTTTATTTGTCACATCTCAAAATACTGTTTTGAATTAAACTGATAGTTTTGGGTCACTCACTCAAAATGCTCCCTTGAGCCCAAGGAACCAAATGTATCAAAACTCAAAACTTTGTAGCTCACAGATTCAGACTTGATATTATTAAGTAAAATCTTTGGTCTTACTTCAGTGTGTTAGTTTCATGTGAAGTTTAATACTTGTAACAAGAAACAATTCTGCAGCTTTTAAACCCTGTGTCTATTAATACCTTTTCAGATAATTAAAAAAACCAAAACAATTAATCCATATATCCAGTCATCAGTTTAATTTCTTAAGCATGGTCTAGCAGATAAACTCTCACTTTAACTAAAAAATGTAAATTTTAAAATCTCAGTTTATATTTAGGATTTTAATAGTTATATTTTTTATGATCTACCAGAACTTCTGTTGTGCAATAGCATGTAAACCATCTTCAGGAGAAAAACATTTTATAGAAGTACTGTAATATGTCTTTTAAATAACTTCCTGTTCTCTTGACATTTATTTCTTGAAAACATGTGAAAAACTCCTATTTTCTGTAAATTATGGAAAACACAAAGGTTAACACAAATATTTTTTTATGGTTTGTTACCCATACATGATACAATATACTGCTCTTTTTGTATGATGGTATATGAATAAAAAAAAAAAAAAAAGCTCAAACTGCAGAATCTTTTCCTTCTAGTAAACTCTTCTGAAAAAAAGAAACCAAACAAAATCAAACCAGAGTTTTGTCCATGTTTTTTGTTCAAGCCGTTCTGGTTTGAAATTTTGCCTTCAAAACCATGGAAAGATGAGGTACACTGATCTTTTAATTAGAACTGATTAATGTGATTCCTTCCTGCCTCCCTAAATCTTGAACATGAATCATCTTAGACAAAGGCTTAACTTTTTAAATAAAATATGTGTTATTTTTGAGGATCTGATATCATAACTACTAGGCTAAATTGATATTTTGACAAGTTGAGACAGGAATAGATATTAAATCAGAACTCCTTTGAAATACACCATTAAAGCATTTTAAACATCAGAGGCAAAATATGGTAGTCATTATACATCTGAGAGTATGCCTTATCAGACCATGAACATAATCTGTTCTGTTCATAACTGAGGAGCAGTGTAATAATAATTCAGTGTGTGGATTCTTTTCTACAACCTGCCCAGCTAAAGAACAAATCCTGTTTTATATCAGGCAATCCATTGCATGAACGCAGGGGGCCTATTCATTCACCTGTATGGCAGCAGTTTTCTAAAAAGAAGTTAATGGAATGTCCTTCTGGCATTGAAAGCTTTTAACAAAGCCACTTCTGCCTTTTAAGAAATATTGCTTTTACTGCAATCCAATGTAATCTCTTTTGTTACTCTTGTGGCCCACATGTCCTCTTTCTACCCGTCCTGTACCTTGTCCTGGGCAGTCTTGCAAGTCGCTTGCTGAAGTGGTATCTGGGGCACAGATCTATATGTACAACACATGGTTTAATTCTGGGGACAACTTTCAAACATTATTTTGCCTGTCTAGTATTCAGACATACATAAAACCAAAATTTAGCATGCAGGGATACACAAATACAGACAATTAATTTGGATTGAAGATACCTCGACTAATGTAAGAAACAAAGATTAGAGTTTGGCTCTCATATCTCTCAGAAAATGGCAAAAGTCAACACAGGGACCTAAAAACCAGCACAAAACCTGTACAAAACAATTCAAGCCTAGGTGGGCCCACAGATATGATTGTTACTCTCCCAGGTAGAGTCAGCTCTTGTGCTGTTTCCACTGAGTATTTTAAATGATATTTTGGGAAAAGCTACATAAGCCTTTCACATTTTTTTATGCTGTCTTTATGTACTGCTAAAGCTGATGCATGGAGGCCATGGAGGATGGGGAGAGGAAGGGGGTAGCTTCTGATGGTCACATCTCAGTGCTTTTTGCTGAGATCCCTGAAGCAGCTTTATTAAGAAAGCTAAAAAAGTTGTTACTAGTACACAACATCTCTTACTGCTATGTGAATTATCTGGATTTGATACTTCTTTACCCTGCTATAAATCAAACTTTTTACTGTATTTTACTAAAATGAAAAGAAGAAAAAAACCTTTGTTTTCAGAAAAGCTTAGCTCCCTTGTTGCAGATAAAGTAATTGTTGAAATGGTAGTGAATAGTGTAACTGTGCCTTTGTAACAGGTAGTAGAAACAAGCAGTTATTTTATGTAGAACTAGGCATTTATAACTCTAACATAACGGTGCAGTGGAAAGAAGAACTTTCTGCCTCGTTTGCTTGCAGAGACCTTTAGCAGAGGGGAGAAAGGACACAGCTCAGGGGACAGCAGGTGTAGGATGAGACAGGATGGAGCACAGGCTGGCACCGGAGACCCCGCAGCTGTAAACAACTCAGCTGTGGTCAGCAAAGAAATGCATGTGTGGAGCTGGACAAAGCTGGGTTTAGGAGTAGCAAAGAGAACAAGGAGATAGGATCTAACACATGTAAAAGGAGCACCTATAATAGATTTGGGTGCAAAGTGGAATTGCCAACCAATGGAGAAAAAGAAGGGCATTGAAACATGTTAGCAAACGTGTATAAATGACCCCCAAGGAATCTTAGATGAAGGAAGAAGAAAGCACCAACATGAACATCCTGTTCCTCCTGGAGATGCTGACAGTCCACTGCAGTCTCCAACCCCTCTCCCAGTTGATGACACTGCCCTAAAGGCCCAGAGGACCAGGGGAAGGGGGAGCATTAACAGCAGCAACAGGGGTAGAAACTAATAATTGTGTATGCAACAATTTTAACTATATTAATATTATTTCCTTTCTGTAACAACTAGTTCTGGACTAATAAAAATCAGGGTTTTAAGACTAAATTTATTCTAACAATAAATTTTAGCTTTACTTGTATAAAAGGTGAGTTTTGCTTTGCCCAATAACAATTTTGAGTGTAACAATAGGAAATACTTATTTAAAAAAAATGTATTATAATTTTAAGTGTAGCAAAGGTGTAGTAAATCACATGCAGAGAATTATTTTCACTAGCCAGGGTAACTAAAAAATACAATATCTGGAACTAATTGTCAGCCCGGTTTGAAAGCTTAGGTATAGACATAATCAGTAGGCAGGTCAATTTGTTTAGGCTTTTGTTCTTCCTTATTGAGTGTGCCTCCTTGTTAAGGATTTCAGTGATAGTAATCCATATCGAATGCTGCTCTTTACCTTCTAGGTCTTTATTCAAAATAAAACTAACTGAGAGATGTTCTGTCCCTACCAATTAAATCTGGGAGGTTTTTTTGTTGGTCTTTTTGGTGTTTGTTTGTTTTGTTTTTTAAATAGAAGTGAAAAGAAAGAGCTATGAACAGTCCCAGGGACACATGCAAATCTCTGTAGCTGTAGGAGAAGATGAAGAGGCAGGATTGAAGAGCAGTAAGAGAATACGAAGAAGGAGGATTGAAAGCAAGAGGCAGAAAAGAAGACAATTCAAACTAAAAGAAAATCCAAGGTTCAAGGCAAAAAACTGTTACACATTTCTGTGCTAACATCATTGCACTGAAAGCTAATGAAAATAAAGAAATCAATGAAATCCCTCAAAAGTAATTTATTGAAAGTAAGGGTAGCAAAAAAAGTGCCCTCATTTAAGTACAGAAACTGCATAGAAGTCAAGGGGGTTCTGCCATTGATATTAGGGGGTACCTACAGAGTCTCCTATAGCTTTCATTCTTCCTGAGAAAGTTTTTGTGAAACAGAAGGGAATGGGGAAGACTGTGTAGGAAGTCTGAAAGGAAACAATACACACAGAGAAACCTGGTTTTCGGAGATACCCGTACACGGGTGAGAACTTGATAACAGGATACTGACTTCTTGTAGATATCATTGCATTCAGAAATATATACTTCAAAATGTGTCCAGCCACCAGGTAAGTACCCCATTAGTTCAGACAGAGCTTGAGACAACAATCTTGTCAATTCGAACAACAGAATATTTTGTCAGACTTAGAAACTAAAATAATTCTCTGTACACTGTAGTACTAATTATGTGTGCTAAGTACTTACCTCCCTGTGGGAAGAACTGAGAGTAAATCTCTTTGAAAGTTTCTTCATTGACAACACCACTGGGGCATTCCGGAAAAAAATGAAAGCCAAGAAATCAATAGTGTCCACTTTAGTAGAGTTAAATCACGTGTTCATGAGACCACACAGAACATGTATGTAAGCCTGAGTTTATCATGTCTGATTTTGCACTTTCAACCAAATATTAATGCATTGAGTGTGCATCACTTTGAAGTATCTTCCTAAAGTATTCCTGTGGGACAACAGTTTCTTCTGTGCCATATATCTGAACTTCAGTCTTGAGAACAGAATGACAGAGGTGAACAGCAACCGCTGTGCTGCTGTGCATGGAGCCATCAGTGCCACAGAGGGCCATGGGTTGCTGCTCCCACAGCCACTAGCAGCACTTGACCCAGTGAGAATGTAAAGTGCATTTGCAGTTAGGTATTAAAGATACAACATGCAGTCATATTCTCCCATAAGAGTAAAGTTCAATTAACTTTAAAAACTCTGCCACAGGAGATCTTACTGAAAGCTTGCAGATTCTTCTGCCTCTTTACATCTTGCTGAAATACATAGGAAAGAATAAGCAGACAGTGTCAGAGCAGGGAGATTGCAGAGAAAATGAAAGTAAGTGAAGAAGAAAAAAAGACGATTAGAGCAGTGACTTTACAAAAACGACTTATGTATAGAGGTAGGATGAGCAGAAGGAATACTGTATAAAGTCATACACAGAAATTGAACAGCAGACAACTGAGTTCTAGCCCTGATGACTTTGGCAATCCCTTAATCCCTTCTTTAACACAGAGGGTGAAAAAAGTCTGGCAAGCTTTTTAAAAGCAAAATATCTCTTGAAACATAGGGAAGAAAAGCCAAGTGTTAAGGTTCATATATTTGTTTGCCCTTTGCTAGGCTGTTTGGACTGATTGCTCAAACCTATGTGCTCCTATTCCTGACCTGGGAAAACAGCTTTATATGAAGATAACAGAGCAGTGTAACAACTTTTACCAGTGTTGTAACAGGTTTTACTGTGAGAGGAAATGGTATTTCTATTAGAACAGATGAGGAACACTGAGATATTTATAGTTCTGATAGCTTCTGTTGAGAAGCTAAGAAACAAATGCTATAATCTTGCTAATGATGAATGCACCACCTGAAAACATGCATGTCACTTATGTCATTTATCCTCAGCCAAAATAAACTCTGCACCATAACTAAGCATGAGCAAACACACAGTAAGAAACAATTCAGTTTGACCAGAGCAGACACAGAGTGGTTTCAGAGGCAGAAGTATGAAATTATTTGTTCCTAGTCAGAGAGGCTGTCATTGATGGAGGCAGAATTAGAGCACATGCCTCTGTAAGACCAGATATGTACTGACTGCTGGACAACTGCCTTTCAAACCGAAGTATTTGGAGGATGGGGGAACAGTGAGATGCATCTAGCATCTCTGCCCTTCATCAGGTGCATGCAAAAGAGCAGTATTTTTACTTTACTTTATGGCAAAGAAAATCCAATAAATACAATACAGTAAAGAAAATCAGTGAAGTGTTCAGATACACATTGATACAACAATTTAGTTATTAAACATAGAAAATACAGCAAAGGTATTTCTCAAGTTCCTCTTTCAAGGATACATTGTTATACATTCTACACCGTTCCCAGAACTGCTCAAGGAAAAATAATGCAGCCTTCTCCCTGAGGTGGGTGGGAGTGTGAAAAGTCAATGCAGTATTCTAGAATTTTGAAAAAGAAGCTGTGGCTTCTTTCGGTTCTGCATGTAACTTTTCAGACAAAAAACTAGGCTCATTTTGAGAAAAAGAAAACCTATATATTTGAATTTGTACAACTCAGATTTTGATTTTTGTTTTTTATTTTTCTGAGAAGCTCAATAAATAATGAATGGCACAATGTGAATTTAGGTTTGTCTACCTCTATGGCTTATTAACATGTAAAGGAATTTTTCTATCTTTCCTTCTGATGAGAAACACATACAAAATATGCTCATTTTGCAAAGAGTGCACTCCTTTTTTTAACAGGAAATGCCAGCAACTCCAATTGTGTCAGTCCTTAGACTGAAACTGTGAAGAGTAAGACTCCCATCTCCTGACTCCATAACACTTAAGTATTATGATGCTAGAGGAGAATTACAGGTAATTTGGAAAAATTTATTCTAATTCACTAGTTGTTAGTTCAAGAAATGTTACCAGCCTATTTTATACGTGATCTATGTACCTCATTTAAAGGTAGTACTTCTGTCGGTTAATGAATTCCAGTTTCACCATAGAGTTTCAAAGAAACAGTGCTTGGAAAGATAACCTACTTTCACAGAATTACATATTGGTAGAGCTAGGAATGACCTCCTGAGTTCATCTAGTCCGACCTTCTGCATCCTCCTCTGCTCTTTACCACAGCATTGCCAGTAACACCCTACCTTTTTGATCCTTGGAGATCTGTAGTCATGGTATCCTAAGGACATTCATAGAAAATCTGTGATGCTGGCCAATTAATCTTATCAGAAATATTTAGTTGAAACCTTTTCTTTCTTTAGTTTGGAACTTCCCTCTGAGACTATGCAAGATTGTGAACACTGCTGTTCTTAAATAATTTTCTTCTAAACATATACATAGCCAACATAATTTACTTCCAAGACTGCTCTTTCCTTGACTCATAAATCTGGCTTTATTGTGTTTATCAGGAGGTTTCTCTAGTTAGGCGAAAGAGATTTAATATTGTAATTGTTAACTATGCCCCACGGCTTTATATCGAATTATTGCTGACTTCTTCCATTGTACCAATTGTAATTAAAAAACTCTTTCTAACCTTTCATTAAACTCTTGTAAAAGAAAGTAAAATAATTAAATAGTTTGAAAGAAAAAATATTAGGTTTACTTAAACAATTTCCTTTAATATTTTTTTATTTTATTTTATTTTTCCTCCAGCTGTATCTAACTTCTTTTGTTCCAGAAAATTTCTGACAGTCTTTTAATATTGTATTATTCATGTATTATATTTCCTTCTGGGGAAAAAAAAAAAAAAAAAGGAAGAAGAGTTCATCTTGAACTCTTTTTCCAGTGTTCTTTAAGGAAAAAACAAGATAAATTGAGTACTGACTGCTGGACAACTGCCTTTCAAACCGAAGTATTTGGAGGATGGGGGAACAGTGAGATGCATCTAGCATCTCTGCCCTTCATCAGGTGCATGCAAAAGAGCAGTATTTTTACTTTACTTTATGGCAAAGAAAATCCAATAAATACAATACAGTAAAGAAAATCAGTGAAGTGTTCAGATACACATTGATACAACAATTTAGTTATTAAACATAGAAAATACAGCAAAGGTATTTCTCAAGTTCCTCTTTCAAGGATACATTGTTATACATTCTACACCGTTCCCAGAACTGCTCAAGGAAAAATAATGCAGCCTTCTCCCTGAGGTGGGTGGGAGTGTGAAAAGTCAATGCAGTATTCTAGAATTTTGAAAAAGAAGCTGTGGCTTCTTTCGGTTCTGCATGTAACTTTTCAGACAAAAAACTAGGCTCATTTTGAGAAAAAGAAAACCTATATATTTGAATTTGTACAACTCAGATTTTGATTTTTGTTTTTTATTTTTCTGAGAAGCTCAATAAATAATGAATGGCACAATGTGAATTTAGGTTTGTCTACCTCTATGGCTTATTAACATGTAAAGGAATTTTTCTATCTTTCCTTCTGATGAGAAACACATACAAAATATGCTCATTTTGCAAAGAGTGCACTCCTTTTTTTAACAGGAAATGCCAGCAACTCCAATTGTGTCAGTCCTTAGACTGAAACTGTGAAGAGTAAGACTCCCATCTCCTGACTCCATAACACTTAAGTATTATGATGCTAGAGGAGAATTACAGGTAATTTGGAAAAATTTATTCTAATTCACTAGTTGTTAGTTCAAGAAATGTTACCAGCCTATTTTATACGTGATCTATGTACCTCATTTAAAGGTAGTACTTCTGTCGGTTAATGAATTCCAGTTTCACCATAGAGTTTCAAAGAAACAGTGCTTGGAAAGATAACCTACTTTCACAGAATTACATATTGGTAGAGCTAGGAATGACCTCCTGAGTTCATCTAGTCCGACCTTCTGCATCCTCCTCTGCTCTTTACCACAGCATTGCCAGTAACACCCTACCTTTTTGATCCTTGGAGATCTGTAGTCATGGTATCCTAAGGACATTCATAGAAAATCTGTGATGCTGGCCAATTAATCTTATCAGAAATATTTAGTTGAAACCTTTTCTTTCTTTAGTTTGGAACTTCCCTCTGAGACTATGCAAGATTGTGAACACTGCTGTTCTTAAATAATTTTCTTCTAAACATATACATAGCCAACATAATTTACTTCCAAGACTGCTCTTTCCTTGACTCATAAATCTGGCTTTATTGTGTTTATCAGGAGGTTTCTCTAGTTAGGCGAAAGAGATTTAATATTGTAATTGTTAACTATGCCCCACGGCTTTATATCGAATTATTGCTGACTTCTTCCATTGTACCAATTGTAATTAAAAAACTCTTTCTAACCTTTCATTAAACTCTTGTAAAAGAAAGTAAAATAATTAAATAATTTGAAAGAAAAAATATGAGGTTTACTTAAACAATTTCCTTTAATATTTTTTTATTTTATTTTATTTTTCCTCCAGCTGTATCTAACTTCTTTTGTTCCAGAAAATTTCTGACAGTCTTTTAATATTGTATTATTCATGTATTATATTTCCTTCTGGGGAAAAAAAAAAAAAAAGGAAGAAGAGTTCATCTTGAACTCTTTTTCCAGTGTTCTTTAAGGAAAAAACAAGATAAATTGACAGAAAGAAGAGACAGAGAATAATACATATGATTCTTCCTTTTGATGATCTTTCTTGCTTGCAGTTTTACTGCTGGGAAATTACCCCTCCAGCACATGGTCTTATGAACTGCTCCAAAACCTGTAAATTATTTACAAGCTTCATGCTGCTTTAGCTGCCTTTTTTTTTCAGTATTTCTAAGAATACTCCAATAGGTGGATCCTTCTATACTACCTAATCAACACCCTTTTTAGACC